CAAAATGAATAAGACTAAAGGCGGATTTCTACTCTACAGAGATTAGGGTTTAGTCCCGATAATATGTTTTGGTGCATCAAAACATGTACAAAAAACTTAACGCCTGAAATTTCGTCTATTGCATGAGCTATATTTTACTAAATTTTGTATATCCAAGCAAACCATTTTTTTAACAGTCAAACACACCCAAGAAAAGAAAAAAAAACATAAAAGAAGCCAAATAGGTGCAGTGTGATTAATTCAACAAGTAGGGTTCTATGGTGTAGTGGTTAGCACTCTGGACTTTGAATCCAGCGACCTGGGTTCGACTCCCGGTAGGACCTTCATTTTGCATCCCATTTTTATTTTCTCGTGGAATACACCCAATTACGGTCCATGTTGCCCTGATACATATGGGCCATCATCTTCCATCCCATTAATTAATTTCTTAATATTTTCGGCATATATATTGGAATGTGTGGAGATTTAGTTACTGGATTCAAGTAGAGCAGGATGCATTCGATTTCGCCTGATGGTATATTTCACCTAAGAACATAAACGTCTAATATTAGATATAGCTTTGGCATCCAGGGGTCACGGAATGCATCCAGTCGTGCTATATAACCTTCCACGTCTCTGGTTATCTAATATACTCATTGCAAATCCGAGCTCTTCCTCTGTTTTCGCCATCTCTCTCTGTCTTCCTTGGTTTGGAACATTGTTGTCCAACTCATGGCACTTGTTTTTTTACAATGATCTTAGTGTGACTTAACAACAAGTTGCAACTATACCCTTGTACTCCTCTCCTTAATAACACGACATCATTGCTACACTTTTCTCTTAAGATTAGCTGCCAATAAGAATCTCAATCACATAACCATAAAGAATCCTATAACACTTATCCGAGCATACTCTTGCAGGATGATCAGAGCAAAAGTTTTCAAACACGTGAAAAAAAAGGGGCAGGTACGATCATGATCATAGTTGTAATAATCACTGCTGAAAGCGTTTCATGATGAGCATACTCATGTCCATGTAGCGTTGCGCGCAGTGAGTGAGGCAAGAAGACTCGCTTGAGCTGAACTTACTCCCTGGTTTGTCTGTGATGCATTTGTCCCAGCACACGCTAGTCAGCTTCGACACCGCTTGGTTCACCATCGCCTTCTCCTTTTGTTGCTGCCACACATCACCACACAGACACTTTTATCAACATTTTTACTAAATGCATAATAATAAACGCATGACAAAGATTAAAAAATCGAACTCTCGATTATAATCAAACCAGACTAAACCACACATGATGAGAACGATTAGCAATTCTAAACCATCAAAATTTACAACTTTTTTGTGCTCATCATATCTTAATATGCCTCCAAAGGAAGAATCAGAGCAACGGTTTCTAATAATTTCAGACAGGACATGGAGACAGCTTAGAGTGAGATTACGGGAAAGGAGATCAGTTTCCTTTTGAATCGACTTAAAATTGTTAAGCTGGAAGAGCTATTTAGATCTGAGGGAAAGGAAATCGGAGACTTACGTTGAGGTATTGAAGCAATTGAGGGTTGTTAGCGAGTTCGGAGGAATCCATGGCGGTTGAGAGCGACTCTGCTT